CACCCACGGGTGGCCCAGGAGGTGTGTGAGCAGGGGTGATTCCTATGGCTGGATAGCTCCTCACCCCATGCCTCAGTTTCTCCATCTGGAAAAACAAGTCTGGAAACACTCAGACTTGCCTGAGCCAGGTCTGGGGATGCTGTTCCCAGGGCATGTCCAAGATACATCTCCCCTGCTGTGGTGGCCCTTTTCCTTCCCACCTCTATCTCCCTGCAGCACTGGACCCTGCCCTATCTTCCCACCCTCAGACAGAGGTGCCAGCCTGGCAGCGCCTACCCCGCTGCCCTTGGGGATGCTGATGAGCTCATCTAGGTAGGTCTGGTCCTGAGTGCCGGGGTGCTTCCCGCCAGTGCTGTGACTCTGCGCTTGGCCATGGTTCAAGGACCCTGTGAGGCCTGGTGGGGCAAGGAAAAGGAGGAGGGGAGGTGGCAGCCTGCCAAGGGGACAAGGACACTGGTGGACTGGCAGCTCTGGCACTAGCTTTCTCCAGTCCCACCTGACCCTTCGTGATGAGTCCTGTGAGGTACAAGCACCATTTTTCCAAGGGGGCCATGACAGTGGCTATATGGGATCTGTCGGTGGCTACCCAAAGGGGTCAGATGCCACCTCTAGCTCAGATGTCCCTAAAATGCTTGGTCCCAGCCCAGTCTTAGACCAGTCCAAAAACCAAGTGTGTTTCTGGGCAGGAGGGGATCCTGCTCAGGGTCCTGCTGCTGGGTGGGCATGGAGTGGGGACAAGAGGCTTGTACTGGTCCTAACTCCCCCTCCCCAGCCCACCCACATCCTGGGAATGTGGTTGAATCACAGGTGGACTTGGGGGAACAGGGGATGAGGCAGAGGGGGAATCCAGGACAGGCTTGGGGGGACAGTCCCCAGTGGGGGATGGAACGGAACCAGGGGTACCAGGGCGGAGGGAAGGGGGTCTAGGGAGGAAAGGACGCACAAGGGGACCCGAGTGTTGTGAGGCTCACCTGGTTCTAGTGATGCCATAGCTGGGGCTGATCCAGACATGCTGCTGGAGCACTCTGATCCTAACACTGGGTGTAATGCCTGCTGCCCAGCTTTTAAAGGACCCTCCCCACTGCCCCCCCGAGGAGGAGAGGAGGAGGATACAAGAAGGAAGTGTTCCTTCCCTACCCGCTGACCTGGGTAGGGAAAGGGCCCCTGGCTGTTGGGGGCTGGGTGCTATGAATGTGCACACTCTTGGTTCCCACCCTGTGCCAGGAGGCCCCTTTGCTCCTCTTTGCCACTCACACACACGTGCACGCACGAGGCACCCACACCAGGAGTGTGGGAGCATTGCCTGCGTGTCACCCTCCATCACGTGCCAGGGCTCCTGCTCCTTGAGCAGTCGGGGGGACAGGGGACAGTTTCTCACAGAGTGGGAAGGCAAGGCTGGCCACAGGGGAGTAGGGGAAATGCCATTGGAGTGGAAATGAGGAGGAAGCAGGCATGTGTTGCACAAGCAGATCAAAATGCACCCTCAGCTGCTGGGGGAAGCACTCAGCTCTGCGGTACAGGGTGCTTATGTCACCCTTGGGTGTGGAGACCTTCACTCCAAAGATGAGGTGCCAGTGTTGCTGCACTGTCAAGCCGTGACAACAAAAGTGGGGACCTTATCCCCAGGACCCTCGTGGCTGTGGAGGTGGAAGGGGGAGCACCTCAGATGCTCCTGTGGGTGCCTGGTTAGTTCCAGCTGTCTCTCCGGGGTACCCATCTGCCATCCAGGCTGTGCCCCACAGAGAGGTGGGCAAGGTCTACACATGGGGTGGTGTCGGGCAGGGGATGTGAGTCTGGCTCTACTCGAGGATATGCCCCAGGCAACCCCCACCCTAAGCCCTAAGGGCTAGAACAGCTGAGAGGGGGACAGGGTCCCACCCAGATGGCATGGTGGGGCTTTAGCACACAACTTGGCACCACCTGCCCTCCCTGAGCCTCAGTTTCCCCAAAGCAAACAAGACTGGGACAGGCAGTATTGGCAGCTTTATTCCCCGTTAGCTGGAGGGTGGTCAGGTGGGGAGCTGGGGAGAGGGCTGGCAGACCCAGTGGAGGCAAAGGGGGTATCCATGGGCCGCTGGTGGGTGAAGAATTCTGCAGCGAAGGAGATGGGGTCATGGGGCTGCTGGAGCAGCAAGGCCTGAAGGAAGTCAGAGAGCAGCGCCCGGACCTCAGGGTGCTGCTGGAGGTAGGCAGCATGGGATAGTTGCAGCTCCTCCTGCAGCAGGGTGGGTGTGGTGGGCATGGACATGCATATCCCCCCGGGCACTGTGCCAGGGTGAGGGGGACAGGGTGCCTGGGTCCTTTCCCACACATAAGAAGGTGTGAGGGAGGATGCTGGCCAGTCTGCCCCCCATAGTGTGTCCCTTGGGCACGTCCAGGGAGACCCTGCTGGGGACTGGCACAGCCCCATGTTGCCTTGCTGCCATGTCCACCCATCTCACCTTCCTGTCCAGGAACCAGGAGCAGAGCTGGATGTCCTCCTCCCAGTTCAGGGGCTCTTTGGGGAAGGGGAGCTGGGGCTCAAACCCACCTGGCAGCAGAAAGGCAGGGCAGGGTGTTCCCCACTCAACTGCTGGACAGTGGGCAGGGGCTGCCCGTGCTGAAGGGCATGAGCCTCCCTGCCCCAGTACCTGACTTGCTGAGGATGGACTCATCCTGCAGAAGCATCAGCATCGGGGAGCCAACCTGCATCATCTGAACCAAACGCCTGCAGAGGGGAGAACTCCCCATGAACTCCCCATGCTGGGTCCCTGCCAGACTGGCAGGGCTGGGGGTGCCCCCAGTCAGACCCTCACCCTTACCCATTGGGGAGGAAGCTGCTCTGCCAGACAGTGGAGACGCCTGTGCTGGTGTGCACGGCTCGCTCCATCACAAACACCTCCGTCTCTGCAGAGCCCACTGCCTGACGCTGGATGCCCAGGGCAGACTGGGCAGGGCACAGCCAGAGGTCACCCTTGTCTTAGAGTCCCCTCTGCCTTCAGGTGCCCTTCCCATGCTGTCAACCACATTCTGCCCACTCCCACCTCCCACATCCCACCCTGGCACTCCCAACCTGAGCCAGACCCCCCCAACCCCATAGGCCCCCCTGCTGCGGCTCACGTAGCTGGAGGTGCAGAGGTGGCCCTCGGTGTCGATGGTGGGGAAGATGAGGCCAGGGGACACTGTGTGCCGGCGTGCCAGCACCCGCAGCAGCAGGAGGCTGGCACCCTCCAGCAGCAGCCCCCGCAGCTCGGCCTGGCTGTAGGAGAAGCTCTGGCACTGTGGCTCTGCCTGTGGAGAGACCTGGCCACTTCATGGGAAAGCCACAGCCCCATTGAGCCCAGGGACAGCAACCCCCAGAGCCTGAGGCACCCCTGGTGAGACAGGCCAGCTGTGCTCCCCCCTCCCAAGATGTGACCCATCTGGGGGGCAGACAGGAGAGATCTCCCGCCTTCAACCTCACCTCTCCCTCCCGGAGGGTCTTCGTGACAGTCATCCCATGCTGGTGGCTCACCATGTGGGTACTCTTCTCTGTGGGGTGTGGTCTGAGCTGTGGGAGGGGTGGAGGGCACAGGATGGAGGGTAGAGCCAGGGCACCACTTTTTCTGAGGTGGCACACCCCAGCACTGCTTTCAGTCAGGGTACCCCATAAGAAGCATTGTGGGAAACTCCCTGCCCCAACTTCCACCCAGAGTAGGTAATAGGGACCAGGCTGGTGGGACAGAACTGGAGTCCGAGCCTGGGAGAGGATGCCAGACTGCCCAGAGTGGCCTTGCATGGGACATATCCTCCAAGAGGGCACCACTGCAGGGCACACACCAGGGCAGGGGGCAGAACATGGGGAAGGGGACATGCCACCACCACATCAGTCACCTCCAAGCACTCCTGCTCCTCCTGCTCCAGGGTCTCCAGCTGTGGGGTCACAAAGGCTGGCAGAGCAAAACCATGCTCAGCCAATCTTGCTGGCACTGTCCCATTCCTAGCCCTGGGGGCTGGTGAGACAGGGGTGCTCCAGCCCTGAGGTGGGGGGGACACCCGAAAGCACCCCGGCTCACCTTTGAGGGTGCTGGATCTAGGCACGCCATCCTGCCAGCCTCGGAACCTGGCTTGCACCAGGATGCAGTTCCGCACTGGCTCACCTTCCCGTTTGTAGGGTGCCCACTGGGCTGCCATCCACCACTGGCCCTCTGCCTTGTCCCTTGGCGGGTCCCCTGTGCCCACCACTGCCAGCGTCTCGGCGAACAGGCAGTGCTCCAGCTCCTTCAGCCCTGCATGGAGGGATGGTCACCCCTTCCCAGAGTGACCATCACCCCTGCCCAGGGCCTCTCCCTGCCTCATTTCCCCCCTCTCCGCAGGCTGGGCCGAGCCCCTCCCCATTTATCCTGCTCAAGTCGCCACTATCCATCCCTCTCCTGCCGGACCCGGTGCCCCCCACCCCCCGCACCGACGACCCCCCAGGGCACGGCGTGCGGGGGACAACGGGGAGGCTGGAGGGGGCACCCACCGATGAGGCTCAGGAACTCGGCAGCCGTGTCCGTGAGGGCAGGGATCTCCTGCCCGCCCTCCATGCCTCGCCTGGGAGCTCCTGCTGCCGGACCCTCAGGTGAGGCGGCGGCGTGGCTCCCCCGAACCGCGGTGCCTTTCCAGGCGTGACGCCGGGGGGAGCAGTGCAGCCCCCGGCCCGTGTCACCCCCGGTACCCCCGACCGACCCCGGGCCCCCCGACGCTTCACCGTCTCCAAGGCAACGGCTTGGCCCCACCTCTTAAAGGGGCCGCGCCCCCGAGGCGGGGTGTCCCGCGGAGGGGCCCCACCAACGTGGAGAGAAAGGGACGAACAGGTATAAAATCGATCTAGTCTTTTATTTGGGGTGGGTGTGTGTGTGTGTGTGTCCCATACAGTAGCATCACCCACCCCACACCGGTGTGATCCCATGTCCCCAGCTGTGTGTGTGTGTGTGTGTGTGTGTGTGTGTGTGTGTGTGTGTGTGTG